TTTGGTGCATCGGGTGGGTCCCCAGCTCACAAGAGCGACAGGGCACGGGCGATGGAAACCCCAGAAGGGCAATCTCCCTATTCTAGAAATAACCAAATATATATATATATCTATATATATATATATATTTATATATATACTTGATTGATCACCCCTTGTTGCAATGGTGCTTCCTTTGGGATGTGTTGGTTGAATTACACAGAAAGGAATAGAGAAGATTAATGCTTTTCAGGGGATTGAAGAATAAAAGGAATGACCAAGAAAGAAGAAGTCGGGAACCCCGCATGGGATAGACACGGAGGATAAATCCTATATTTTGTCCACCTACACATAAAGTGTAAACACCAAAAGTCAAATTAGGAATTATAATAGAACCAAAAGAATAATCTAAAATTGAAATGTACACCATATAAAAAAAACTACGAATTGGGGGGTTTCCTCTAAAACATAAAATCATAAGCATTAAAGATCGTGACTTCAACCCATCAACTACGTTTTAGAGATCAATCTCTGAGGCACAAATTTCTCTAATAAAAGAGACTTTTTTGAATGTCCATGAATTGCGTTGCTCTTGCTACTAAAATCCGAAATTAACATCACTGGCCCAAATGTCATATGACTCTGTCCTGCTTATGGAAGCTAGTATTTTTAGAATTTTCGCTACCGAGTTGCTTCAACAAGGATATTAGCTCGTCCTTCCCTTTCGTTTCATTTTTGGTAATCCACGGCATTCGCAGCAGCTCTACCGCCGTCCCGCGTTCCCCTGGAAGGTGTCGCGTACAGCTATTGACAAAGTCCTGCGCCTCCTGCGAGCACCCCGCCCCCCCCACCACGTCGATCGACTCGATCGTCGTGATTCGCCGAAGCAGGGCCATAAAGCTTAAATTGCTCGAGGCGAACGGGTAGACCCCGAGGAGCACCTGCCCCGTCACCACCCCTACGCTCCAGATGTCGCTGGAGGTGCCGTAGCGCTGGCCTTGGATGCGCTCCGGGCTCATATAAGTCGCCGTCCCGACGAAGGAATCCGCGCCGAAGGTCTCGGCGCTGGTGGCGATGCCGAAGTCGGCGAGTTTGACATCCCCGTTAAAGGACAACAACACGTTCGCGGGCTTGATATCGCGGTGGATTTGGTAGCGGCCCTTCTCCGCCTTGGTCTCGGTGACGATGGGGGACTTCTTGTGGAGCATCTCCAGCGCCCGCAGCACCTGCGCGATGACGTACGCGGCGATCGTCTCGGGCAGCCGCTCGGCCCGCCCCAGCACCTCCAGCAGGCTCCCCCAGTCCATATATTCCATCACCAGAAGAAGGGTCGCGTTGCGGTAGAAGGCGTTGTAGCGCTCCACCATATAGGGATTCGACACGTTCGAGAAGATGTTCCGCAGCTCGGCGGCGACGATTTGGTGGTTTTGCGCCCGCGCGGTGGGCGAGATGAGGATGCGTTTGACCGCGAAGACGGCGTCGTCGGGGGCCATATACATAAAAACATTCCCCTGCGTGCCCTGCCCGAGCCGCCGGATTCGCCGCATGCGGTCGATGTTCAGATCGGGCCGGGGGACGTGGAGGTCGGCCTCCCCGATGAACTCCACCCCGTTCGGGCCCACGCGAAGGTTCCCAACGGTGAGCGCATCCGAGGGATCCTCGGTGGTGGGACGTGGGTAGAGATTGAACTTCGGAGGCAGGGACTTCAGCCGGGGTGGCATGGTTAAGTGGTCTTCCTTCTTTTCAAGCCTTTCCTTTTATTATTATTATTTTTTTTTTAGGGGGGGAGGGAGGGTTAATAATATAGGAAATAATAAAAAATCCAGAGGGTAGGGGGTGGGGGAAAGCAATATAGTGACTGGTGCTGTAAATTTTGTAATTCAAATTTAACTCACAATGAATTTGTTATTTTCTCTTCGTCGCCTCTTTCTGCGTTATGGGTTCATCACAATGCACAAAAAAGTCGCCACTGGCAAAGCACATTACTAGAGCCCTTCTGTATAAAGAAAACAAAGGATAGAAAAAAAGAATGACCTTTCTTTCATGCCTACAGCAATGACAACATCCTCTTCACCTACTCAATTATCGTAACCAATGAATCGGCCAATTTACCGGTGGGGCTAGAACAAATATTAAAATACTGCGGATGAGCCTTCACGGCGGTGTAAATGCCCCCAAAGTGTTCTTTTAACCCTTTAACCGCGGGTTTGGAAAGGTGTAAATACTGAAGAGCTAAGAGCGTGGCGCCGCCTACGGGTACGGCTGCGCGCAGAGCCTCCACGCTATCATCCGAACTTAATAAAGGCAATTGAAGTTCTTTAGTCTTATAAAGTTTCGTTTTCTGTATCATACTAACCCCTTCATCGATGAAAATAGTAAAATATTCGTTAGTATGCGGTACTAAATGGGCTTTAGCGTGTCGCCCTAAAGCAGCCTTTAAAATAGGTGGCAATTTCGTTAGCATTGTGTTTTTTTTGATAGCACGATCGTTGGGCAGCAGCTGAGCAACCTCATCACACCAAACGTCGCGATTGAGAAGAGGGTTATGAGGATCGAGCAAAATGAGTTGTTTACGTAAGGTGGGGATCTGACTATTCCCTAATATCGCTTGGTATTTTTGGCGAGCCTTCTCGCCAATCAGGGCGGCGGTAGAGCGGGTGTCGTCGTCGAAATCGCTCGGGAGCACCACCCGCTGTTGGAAACGGAAATCTTTTTGTGTGGGAACGATGGGCGCCAAGATGCCCTGAGGATCATGAGCGATGACGTGCATCAAATCCTCACTCAGCTCAAATAGCTCGCCATGCAGGCGTAGAAAATTTACAAAGCCTTTGTAGATCTTCCGCATCGTCAGTCGCTGCTCGGGGTTGAGCGCGAGATAGATTTTTTGAACTCGCACCCAGCGCCATATCAGCAGCGGAGGTTCGTTTGGCGCCGTCAAAGCGGTTTTGGGTAGATTTTCCTTTCCAGTAATGCCATGATTGGATCGGTACTTTTTATAACATTGCAGAAAAAAATTATTGGGAACCTTGCTAAGTGATGGCGGTGGCGCCAAGAAGCTGCAAGTAAACTTCACCAGTTCAGGCGTTGGGGTAATTTCATGATTGAAATTACTCAGGCTACGCGGCGCGATTTCAGGGGGAAGGCGTCGGACATACAACTCATTCAGGTCTAAAGATGCAATTGGGGCATCACTAGGATCTTGAGAGTAGTGTCTATCGTTGGTGTACGTGTTCGTTTCATCGTCGTCATCGAGGAAGTCGTTGCTGTCTATTTTCTCGGTTGAAAAGGCGTCCTTGTCAGGCAACTCCTCGTCCATAAAATCACCAGACGAGGAATCCTCTTGAGAATCCGGCTGATTGTCTTCAAAGTCTTGTCCATCCTCGTCTATGATGGAATCATCATCAAGGCCTTGTGCGAGGTCGTCAATCCCAATTAAATCATCTTTAATCGCCTGATTCAATTGCCGCTCTCTTGCCTGCACTTCTTCATCCGTACAAGATGAATCGGCCTCAGTCTTACCGGCTCTTTTACCCATCTCCATATTGACGTCTTCAAAGTCCTCCTCACTTTCCTCCTCCTCCTCCTCCTCGGGTTTGTTTTCAGCTTCCTGGGAAAGATCCGGCGCGGATCCGATCGCGTTCGCAGCCGAAGAGCCTAGCGCCGGCTTTACGGAGTCATTTTGAAATAACCGCAACCACACCTCGCGATCGGCGTACAAAAACAGGGACGTCCCCTTCGGATTCATGAGCTGGAAGACCAAGGGGTAGTCCTGCAGTAAGGTTAGGATGTATTCCTGCGAAACGGTGTTCAGCACATCCAACTCCGCCTGGGGGAAGGTGTTGACCCAATCCACCAACGGCATCGGCGTGAAGCGCGTCTTTCGCAGCGCCGCCGCCGGGATATCCCCCGCGGAGGGCGTCGGGACGCGGGGAAGGTGGCTTACCAAAATATCAAAAATCCGCAGTTCGACGGGCTTCGGCTTCGCCGCCGCGATCCTGGGCTCCTTGGCGGCGCCAGGGGCCTCTGAGGAGGGGAGGAACCCCCCGCCGCCGCGGGGTCGGCCTCGTCGGCCGCCTCGCCGGTGGGGACATTCCGGCTCATGACGCCGCCGGCCCCGACGTGGTACTCGGCGTTGTTTTTGTAGTGCAGGCAATTGCCTTTTTTGAAGTCCGGGTGCGCGCGGACGAACCAGAGGTCGGCATTCAACTTCACCACCGATCGCTGGAAGCTGGGGCGGGAGAGCTTGAAGAGCATGGGGTACCTCGCAAAGATATTCCCCACCCACTCCTTGCGAAGGTATTGGGAGTCGATGCGAATCATCACGTTTGATGGGATGAGGTTAAAAATGTGCCGGGTTTCGACATAAAACGTTGGGGTGAGTTTGATGAAGACTTCGGCCACCTCCGAGGGGGTGAACCATCCTTTTTTGCGGTATATGGCGTCGATTTGATCCATTTTGGGACCAAGCGATGTCACCATGGCATTCGGTGGGAGAAGAAAATTAGGCTCGGATTGGGCCGAACGAGAAATATATACGGACATGTTATGTAAAATGCGATCTAAGCGCCATCGGATCAACTCTTCGCGCGAAATCGGTGGTACAGAGGTATCAACCACAAAACCTCTGAATATACCATTGATGAATTTGTGCTTACCGGAATTGTTTTGGCTGTCTTTTGATTTTTCAGTATCACCGTGATTATTTTTTAGCATATCATCTTGAACATTAAGTTTTGGAAGCGAAAAAGATAGAATGGAGGTCTTTTTTTGTTCATTATAGGCAGTGCTTGGACCTGAATCACTTTTGATAGGGCTTTCTCGTAAGGACTGAAAGTAATAACAGCTACCAGATGGACCGGAAATATGTTGGTTATCTGTTTTATTAAGGGAATTGTGGTTGGGTCCAGTTTTGATGGGTGACGAGGAGGAGGCCGGTATGGTGGAACGTTCCACCGTGGAGATTGGACGACCGTCGCTTGAAAAGCACCTAACACCATTCACTCCCAAAGTAAGTAATCTGAACGAACGATGTACATACATTTTAATCATACCGTATGGTATAAGGAAATTTAGTTAGATGGGAGGATCTCGTGTGTTGTTGCTCCGCAAATTATTGAATACTGGACTTTGCTGTTATTCAAAAGAAATCAAGATATTTTACACGTCATGTGATAGGAAGAAAAAAGAGAAGGTTTCCGTTTGTTCGACAGACCCGTGAAACGCTAAAGTGTCTTCTGATAATGTAAAAGGATTGGGAAAGAGATAGACAAGGAGGTAAGCAATCACAGGTTGATCATTCGAAATTTGGAACGCGAAAAAGTGAAGAAACCCCCATTAAAATACATCAAAAAAAATATCGTTTTTTTTCTAATTATGGTTCCATCTTTTTGATTTTTTATATAATGTATAGAAAGCCTGATATTTAATATTAGGAAAAACAATTATAGAAATCCAAAGTCCCCTAATATATAAATAAATAAATAAATATATATATATATATATATATATATATATATGTATGGTCAAGATGAATAAAAATAATCTCAGCAGACTTACATTATTCACGCACTTTGCTTTGATTGAATTATAACTCGTTGACGGCTTCAAAACAGGTACATGAAGTTGGACAATATGGTTTGATTGTCTTTTTGTGTTTATATAACTAATATTCCTAAACTAGAATGCAAGAAAATGACTAAGAAATAAAAAATGTCGATTTTTTCTTTAAGTGATCAAATAAGGAAATAATGTAACTTTAGTAGATGCAAAAAAAAAAGGACTTCGTATTTCATTAGCCTACGATCATTTGATCTGTTTTTAACATTTTTATCATCCCTTTCTTCTTTATTTTTTAGCCTTCGGAGTATACAAAGAAGCCTCAAGGTCGTCATTTTTGAACGAAAAAAATGCAATACGTTTCAAGATGTAGACCAAATTATAGAAAAAGAACGAGGTAAACCGCAGCCAGAGCGAGCGTTTTTGATAATCTTCAAGCCTTACCTCCTTGCTCAGCGCCAGATCATCCAGAAAATGAGTCTCCATCTCACGCGCCATCTTGACATCGAGATGGCACAAACAGACCTCGAGGTTTTTATCGCTCATGATATCCCAGTTATAGCTCCCGATCGAGGACCACACGCTGTCCGCCACGACGGTCTTGGCGTGCATAATTTGGCTGCCTTTGTACTCGAAAATCCGCACCCCCCCGCGAATCAGCCGCTCCGTGACGTAGCGCGAGGCATGCCACATAAACCACGGATCGGTGGTGCGATTACTGCCGGCCAAAATCCGCACATCCACCCCGCGGCCGGCCGCGTGGAGGAGGGCGCGAAAAAGCTTCCGCGTGGGGAGGTAATACGGGGTGGTGATCCAAACCCGCCGATGGCACTTCCGCACGACCTGCCAGTAGGCGTATTGGATGGAATAATCGTGGTGGCGGGGGTTGCAGGAGAGGATCTGGGTCCGCGCCGGGCACCGCGCGGCGTACTCCGCCGCCTCGGGGACGGGATCGCCATCTGGGATGGGAATTGTCAGCAGGACGGTCGTCCAAAATCGCGTTTGGGCAAGCCGGGTGGCCTTGCCGAGGGCCTGCGTCCGCGCCTTCGCGATACGGCGCTGCATGGCCGCCGATTGCGCGCACTTCGCGCCCTGGGCTCCACACACGGGGAGGGCGTCCGATGGGGGGTCCGCGCGCGCTTCAACCGGAGGCCGCGCCGATAACAAAACGAGGGCGGAATCCCCCCCTTCAGCCCCCGACGGGGGGGGTTCGCCGCGGGTTAACTGCAGCGGGGGATCTGCGTTTGCCAGGCCCCCCTCCAGTGCGGCCTCGGACGCCCGATTTAGCAGCGTCGAGACTCGTTTGTTGGACCACGTGACCCATTCGCTGATGTTCTCCCACTGCTTCTCCCATCGAATACGACGCAGAATGCGTTCGGTACTTTGCTCGGCCTTGTGGACTTGCTGGCGAAAGTAGATCCCACCTCGTTTGGTCACCTTGAGGGTTCGATCCTGGATAGGCCGCAGAATACTGGTCTCGACGGCGGATTTGCCTTTTTCAAGACGGCGGTTGAGCTTGTTCGAGGCGATTTGGCGCCACCGCGCCCAGCCGTATTTCCATGTCTGCGGGGCTTTGGTGTCTTCGTAGACCTCGTGCAGATGCGCGACGACGGGGCCATGCATCGCGCAATGTATATCGCGAAACTTGTTGTTTCCCCCTAAACGTGGGCTGCAGTAGTCATTACCGATGTTGAGGCCGCCGCAGAAGCCGATTTCTTTATCGACCAAAAGGATCTTGCGATGGTTGCGCAGCCCAGGGCTCGTGCGCCAATCCAGCCCTTGGAAAAAATACTTCAGCGCGGTGGAAAAGAATGGGCGATAGGTGATAACGGTCCCCCCGCAGCTCTTGAGCTCCTCGGTCAGGCGCGTTCGCCCGGACAGGTTCCCGCCGCTGTCGTACAGGAGCTCCACCGTGCAGCCTCGCCGCCGGGAGGCGACCATCCGGCGTAGGGTCTCGCCGCCGACCTCGTCGTCCTTGCAGATGTAGGTCTGCCAAAGGACCTCCCGGGCGGCCCCGTCGACCGCCGTCCACATCCGCTCGAAGGCCTCGTTGGAATCGCGGAAGGGGGTCACGACGTTGCCGGTGGAGACCCGGCCCAGCACCGCGAGGCTCTGCTGGATGTCATCCCATCGGTCGTGAAAAGGGGTGCTGCTGAGGTAGGGCCGGGGGCGGGCCGCCCGGCCCGCGGCCTGCCAAAGCCCCGCGGCCCGCAGGAAGGCCAGGAGGATTCGCCCCTGGACGTTCGCGCAGGCGCGCTGGAGGGGGAAGACCGGGAGGTGCCGCGGGACCCGCCCGAGGCC